AAACCTCCTGCTTCACGGCAAAAAAAAGTCAGCATGAGCGAGGGCAAAATATGATCTGATTTATACATATGCAGATGGACCGGGATGCAATTTGAGTAACAGACGTGCCGCAGCTAAACTGGGTCGTAGTTGCACGTACCGCTTGAAGATTGAAAGGTGGAGAAAACCAAGCTCTCGTTCTCGTATTTGTGGCTGCTTTGCTCCACAAGAGTACGACATGCTCTCTATGCTCTCTAGCTAGATCCATCCGTTGTTTCACGTCGCAGATTCCGAGACATTCTTTTTCTGAAGATCATGTTGTCCAGATACTACCGTCGTTCTTCTGCATCGGAATTGAGGACTCTCTACCAGGAAGATCTATACATCGAACCCTCCACCTCTCGTTGGGGACTTCCAGCCACGGCAGCCCATCCCCCAAGCAGGTGCCATCAGTGGCACGGAGTGGGAAACGGATTGGGAACCAAGCCATATGGATTTCACCATGAACCAGGCCTATATATGGAGAAGCTTAAGCTTTAGAAAAGAAGGAACCAAATGAATATTTCCATGGACTTCCATGGACCGGATGTCCACCGTCGGCACGTGCGCACGGGTTTTTGTTTACCTGTTCTTCACCTCTACCGAAACCCTGTGGTGGCCACTTGTCCGAAAGCGGGATGTGGTACCCCCACCGGAACCCATGTTCCTCAGGACCAGAGGGCCTGCCGATCTTGGAGATTGTCTTCACCAATGCGCAGCTGAGCTACAGTGCCTTGGCCGATCTGGGCTGTGCAGTCTCCCCCGACCAAACGGACCGGGAAAATCCATTCCGTTTGGCCCGTACCTGGGGTATCGGGTATGCCCACTTCCCAAAGAAAAGCCTTATATCAGGACCCTCCGTTTGAGGTCATAAGTTGAGGGTTGAGACCTAACGGATTCTCAGTTAAGTGACCTGTTGGAGGGTGGTGACGCCGTGACAGTTGACACCGTGACAGGCCTGATCGGCCTGGTTGGAACAACCACGGTTTCCAGGACCCACGGTCGACCAGTGATGGAAAGACCCATGTGTGATTCAGGGGTGTTTGCTTGGTGTTTGCTTCTTCTTTCCGCACCAAGTACAAAACCGTGGTCCATTTCCCAGACCCGTTTTTGGTCCGGACAAGGAGGCGCCTGGAGGTGGAAGGTCCACCAGTCACCTCGTCGGTGCCTCGTCCCATCGGCACCTTCACTCCATCTGACTGGAACCAGACGCGACCTGTCTGGGACTGCGCAGGCCGCCCCGGACAGACCCCCCTGGCACCACCATCGCCACCCCTGGCCACTTGTTCGCCCAAACAAGCTCACCTGTGCCATGTCCAGACAGGTCCAGACGTCTCCGGTTGGCGGTTGGAAGGTCGCCCACCCAGATGTCAGTCGGCCGAGGTTCGCTCTACGGCGTGCGCTCACTCGCGTGGCCGGAGGCGCGGACCCGGACCGCGCCGGTGAAATGAAAGGCACATGGCTGGAGTGGAAGTTCGAGGTCGATTCTGATTGTCCCTCAATATTGGTTGTTTTTTTGGGGGGGGTGCTCTTACGTAAGTTTGAGGTTCTGACTGCACCTAGAAGTACATAGTAGAATCAGAAGTACATGGTACTGGTAGAATCGGGTAGAACATGGCTGCAGCGGTGCCTACACGCAACGAACATCAAACGGTGTCATCCTCAAAACACCCCTCAACCTATGATGTCGACATTCACCAAGATGGCAAACGTGGCAAGATGGCCACTTTGAGGAAACCGATCGCACCAGATCATGATCTCTTGGACTCTTGGGTAAGGATGTGCGTGTTGGGTGGCAGCACTGGTCACCGGGACCGTTTCGGCAAATCCACACGGTAAAGTCTGCTTCCAATGGCGCCGCCATTTTCTTTTCGAGCCCCAGTGATTCAAGGTGATTTCTTGGGGGAACTGTGATGTTTTTCATGAGGGACTGTGGAATTCTGGTTGTTGTTGTTGTTGTTGTTGTTGTTGTTGTTGTTGTTGTGGTGTGTTTTTTGGTCAAATAAGGGAACTGTTGGTACACGGTGAACATTCCGTTTGACCCAACCGACCCAGCTCACCACTTCGTCCCACGTCGCAAGGCGCAGGTCTTCTTCCACGGGAGACAGCTGGAACAAAGGCACTGTGGCTCGCATGTCGCATCTCGCTAGGCCTTGTCGTTTCAGACAAAAGGATACAACAGGGGTAACAACAACAACAACAACAACAACAACAACAACAACAACAACAACAACAACAACAACAACAACTCAACCAACTGCCACTGTTTGCATGAATTATAGCACAGCACCAACAGCAGTTCTCAACCACAGATATACCCGGCCTTGAGCAGGTCAAGAGCGAGTAGATGTTCCACAGTTGGACGTGCCCAAGATACCAATCGCAGGCAAATGTGTTAAAAAAACCAGCCAACCATTCCCCAAACATGGAAGCCAACTTCTTGGCCTCCATCACCCTCTTGGCCTCCAGGCAAGTGCATCATCCCCGGAATGTACTAGCACTGCTGATCTCAAATAGACGAAAGAAGACCCTTCCAGAATTCGGAGTATATATAATATAAAGAAAATAACATGATAAAACATGTTAAGTTGCTTGGGGACCGTCGTTCGTTGTTTCGGGGGAATTAGCGCAGAAGAAGTGTTTTTGACCCTTGCGGACCTCTGAAGAATTGGTTGCTCAGAACTAAGAGAGGGTATAAAACACGTCTTGTGTTTTTTGCGCTGTTAGTGGCAACATACGAGACCCAAAGGACTATTTCATAGGTTTGTTTGTCTCGTGAGTGGTGAGTGAACGGCCATGGTAAAACCTTTGTAGACGTTGTAAACCTTTGTAAATTTGTTTGCAATTCAACAACTCTGTCAACTCTTTGCAAAAGTTGCAAACTTTGTACACATTCTTAAGACTTTGTGAAAGTTTTGTAAACGTTGTATAACTTTGTAAAAATACAAAACTTTGTAAACGTTCTGAAAACTGTGTAAAACGTTGCTCTAACTTTGAAGAATAATTTGAAGAACTCCAAAACTTCGTAAAAGGTTTGTAAACCTTTTTTTAACAGATTGCGAATTTTACAACGTCTTAATAAAGTTTTACCAAGTTCTTTCAAAGTTTTACAAGTTTAAAGGTTGACAAAGCTTACAAAGTTTGACAAAGTTTAAAAATGTTTTACAAAGCCTACAAAGTGTTGACAAAGTTTACCAAGTTTATACCAAGCTCACTACGTTTTTACAAAGCTTTCAAAGTTGGTACAAAGTTTACAAAGTTTTACACAGATTTTATGAAGTTTGCAAAGTTTTACACCCGTTTACCAAGTTTACAAAGTTTCACAAAGTTTACAATATTTTGACACAGTTTTAAAAGTTTTGAACAATTTCCAAAGTTTACCCAGTTTACAACGGTTTTACCACTAAAATCAATTAAAGACGTATTGAAAGTTTTACAATGTTACTGCAATGTTGACAAAGTTTTTACAACGTTTACACAGTTTTGCAAAGTATTGAAAGTTTACAAACCTTGTACAAAGTTTATAAAAAGTTTACAAAGATTGCACATTTTACAATTTTTACATGGAGTTTTTACAAAGTGTACAAACATTTGCAAACTTTACACAGTATTTACATAGTTTACAAAGCTTTCACAAAATTTGCAAAGTTTATACAGTTTACACAGTTTTTGCACAGTATTGAAAGTTTACAACGATTTTACAAAGCTTTGGAATTTGACAAAGTTCTTGCAAAGTTCGGAATTTACACAGTTTTTCAATTTTTACAGAGTCTACAAAGCCTCACAAAGTGTTTACAAAGTTTTCAAAGTCTTTACAAAGTTTACAAAGTTGTACAACGTTTTTACAAAGTTTACAACAGCTTTTTCAAGTTTACAAAGTTTTTACAAAGTTTACAAAGTTTTTACAAAGTTTACACAAGTTGTTCAAGTTTACAAAGTTTTTACACAGTTTACAAGGTTTTTACTAAGTTTTTACAAAGTTTACAAAAGTTTTTCAAGTTTGCAAACTTCTTACAAAGTTTACAACGCATTTACAAAGTTTACAAAGTTTTTACAAAGTTTACAAATGGCTGGTGAAAAACACTTATGTTTACAACAAATGACATGAAAAACACTTCTTTTGAAGCAAAAAATCGTGCAAAAACACTTCTTTCACATAACTTTACAAAGTTTTACAAAGTTTTTACAAAGTTTACATAGTTTACACAGTCTTTACAAAGTTTACAAAGTTTCTACAAAGTTTACAACGTTCTCACAAAGTTTGCGACATTTGCCTTCTGTTACACAAATTTACAAAGTTTTTACAAAGTTTACAAAGTTTTGAAGATTTTGGAAAGTTTACAAAGATTTTGCCAAGTTTACGAAGTCTTGCAAAGTTTACAGAGTTTCGACAAAGTTTACAAAGTTTTGACAACGATTACAAAGTTTTGATAGTCTATTTATTTGCAAAGTTTACAAAGGTTCTTTCTACATTTTCCAAGTTTTTACAAAGTTTGTACAGTTTCACAATTTGTACAAAGTTTTTAGGAAATTTACAAATTGTTCAAAGTTTACAAAGTTTTCACAACGTTCACAAGGTCTTTCAAAATGTTTACAATGTTTTGACAAAGTTTACGAAGTTTAAGAACGTTTTACAAAGTTTGCAAAGTGTTACGAAGTCTATAACGTCTTTTTTTAAATAGAGTTTACGAAGGCCTACAACATCTAAAAGTTGTTTACAAAGTTTACAAAATGTTAGTACAAAGTGTACAAAGTTTGCAATGTTTACAAACTTTTTGACAAAGTTCACAAAGTTTTGACAAAGTTTACAAGTGTTTACAAAGTTTTGACAAAGTTTTCGCATTTTACAATTTTTTACACAAAGTTTTCGCAGTGTTTTACACAGTTTTACAAAGTGTACAAAGTTTTTACAAAGGTTTACGAAGTTTAAAGTGTTTCAGTGTTTAAAAAGTTTACAATTTTAACAACAGCTTACGAAGTTTTGACAAAGTTTGCAAAGTTTTTTTCAATCTTTACACAGTTGTTGCAGAGCTTTGAAAGTTTACAAGGTTTTAGAATTTCACCAAAGTTTCTACAAAGTTTACACAGCTTTTACAACTTTACAAAGTATTTACAAAGTTTACAAAGTTTTTACAAAGTTTACAACGTTTTGCAAAGTGTTCAAAGAATAAAGTTTACAAAGTTTTGACACAGATTGAAAAATCCGAAACTTTGTAGAAAGTTTGTAAGCACCAAAAACTGTTGTAAAAGCTTTGTAAAAAACGTTCAAACTCAATAACTTGGTAACAACTTTGTAAAATTCCAAAACTTGTTCAAAGTTTGATAAATGTCCAAAGCTTTGTTCAGATATCTAAGGGTTCAATACTTTGTAAAATGTACTGTAAGTTTCCAAAACTTTTTGAAGTTTGTTATTTCTATTTTTAAACTTTGTAGACTTTGTTAAAACATTGTAATGCAAAAACTCAGTAAAAACGTTGTAATTCCAAAACTTTGTCAATTTTTTTGTAAAGATCCAAAACTTTGTAAACACTTTGTAGGAAGTTTGTTTGAAGACCTGCGAAAGCTGTTCAAGAAGAGCTGATCTTTGGATCAGTGAGACTGTTTGCATTTTTTGTTTACAAAAACGGCATTTGGTGCTTGCGCTTTGGGAATTTGTGACTGATGGCTGTAGTGTTTCAGGGTATTGAGGGTGAGAAGAAGGGTCGAATGGTTATTGGTTGTGCAAGTGTTTTAAGACTTGGCCACGGAAACACCAAAACACTTCTTTCATTTTTCCAAATAACATTGGTGCAAAACACTTCTTGCGAGCAAAAACACTAAACTCAAGCAACTTAACAATAAAACAAAGCAGCAGCTTAAAAAGGTTGCCCAAACCAAAATGCTTCCCCCTCCCCTCCATCTCTGCGAGGCCCATCGTGCATGTGCAAGGCCTCGAAGTCCAACGCTTCGGAGACTTCGAGCGAAACTGGGCCAAGGCGGTGACTCTCCGAGGGTGGCGGTGACGAGACCGAAGCGGTGACCACCAAGGTGTGCCCGGTGAACCGACTTTGCCTTCAGGTTGCGCGTGGTGGTCAAATCCCTCAGAAAAAAACTCAGGGTGGTTCCGGATGGTTGCGGTGAGAAACATGACAAATGGTGGGCCAGGAAGTGCAGGGACCCTCTTTTTTTATTAAGGTCACTTGCACCCATTGTCCTAGCAACGAGCAGGTTGACTCCGAGCACCAAGGGTACCTTGGTCATCCTGGGACTCGCCACGGCGTGTCGTTTCGGTGATGTTCAGCTCCGCGTGTCGCTTCGGTGATGTCAGGGCAGCGTGCGAGCGTGCCGATCTCGGCGCCGGATTTGGAGATTTGGGGGGTCCACCAATTCTGAAATCGACCAAGGCCCGTGCAGACGGCGTCCCTTGTTTGGGGGGCGCGCTGCGCACGTTTTCTGTGTTCGACGTTCCAAAAGGGAACATGCACTCAGTGACTTGGACTTCCCTGGGGTTGGGTAGAAGCCTCCTTGCAGGGGATACGCTCCCTGAGAATCATCGGAAGTGGATGGACACTGCCCTGAAGGACCATCCAGACCTGGTTAAGATTCTATCAGGTTCCGGACGTGACTCGTCTGACCCAGATCTGAGCCTGGTATAACCTGGTCTGACTGACCTGTGATCTCGTATGACCAAGTCCAGAGAGGTCGGTTTTTGACCTGTACCGGGGCCCCCGGTTTGGGGTGGTTAATGGACACCTCATAACATTCAAGAAACCATTATTGGACACACCTTAAGCCTTAGGGGGCCCTGGTAGGGTTGGTTTTATCATGTTTTATCCACTTCGTTCCACTTCCATGATTTCCAGCGTCAGTGTCTTCGCTCCGGCGACACACTGGACGTCCGTGGCGACCGGTTTTTCTCGGGGGAACCGAAGCGGCGAAACCGCACCGTAGCGACGGTCGGCGGATTCCGTGGAATCAGAAGTATGGTCCAAGGACTTATGTACCTGGCAAACCCAAAACCAAATGGAACGTTCATAAGAATCATTTGGTCTAGCATCTCCGAAGGACGGCGATAGTGGGAGTTGGCTGCTAACGGGTGGACCAACGGCTTTCAAGCGGCACTGAGCGAAGGTCTTGGGATTAAATGGTTGGTCTTCCAGTTGTGCACCGCCGTTTTCCACTTCCGCCACTTCCCTTTATTGATGTGCCACATGAGACACAGAGAGAGAGTGAGAGAGAGAGAGAGGGAGGGAGGGAGCGAGGGAGAGAGGGAGCAAGGGAGAGAGGGAGGGAGGGAGGAGAGGAGAGAGGGAGAAAGAATGAGTGTTCGTCACCATCAGCTGTGGGAGCTCGTCCAGATTTGTAGGTCCCGCCCGGCTTCGGACGCCGACCGCGGAACCCGCCGCGGAACCCGCCGCGGAACCTTCCGGCTTCAGCTGACGCGTTGACGACGGCGCCGGAGCGACGGCCCGGCGCGACCGGCCTTTTGGGGGGGGCACTTCCCGAGTGTTTGAGCCGAAGGCACCGCAGTGGAACGGGGGTGGGTGTGGTCGTGATGGGGAGTGTGGGGACTCAAGGTTGATGGGTTTGGCAAGCGATACTCATCCAAGCGAAGAATGGGTTCCTAGGGTTTTTGAACGCTTTTTTCCAGTGCAGCGATGACGGAACGTGCAGTGATCGTTGAGATTTGGCGTTTATATAATAAGCATCTGGTTTCTTGAGGTATTATTGGCTGATGTTCTCGCTTCAGAGGTTCTTGCTGAACCCATGCAAAGTGCTTGGTGCAATGTCCGGACATGGCAAACACCTGGACGGGCTGCTTTGTAGTCCCATCCATTCACATCCAATACGTGGGGATCATTATATCATGGGCACCCCCAAAACGCCCCCAAGTTCGGCACCCCAACATGTCGACTCCTGGTACGTGAGAATGGCATGTTTCGTTCGTGTGTCGAAAGCCACCCACGCCCAGCTCGCTTTTTTCATGCCATTCGTCGGACCGCGGGTCAGAGCATCGTCGACCGTTCGTTCAGACGATGGAACCATCCTTTTTGGGGCTCCGAACGGCCCCACACCCTCAGGTTCGGTGGTTTGACCGGCACCCACCTCAACATCCCCCACCTTCGAAACGGAGGGTAGTTGGAGTCCTATAGGGAATTATCGTGGCTTGCAACGCACCAGGCGGCCCCCCGTGTGACCATGGCGGCCCAATCGCTGAGGGTGCCCTGCTTTTCAGTTCGGTGGATGGGGGAGGGGACAACAGCCTATTCAAGTGCAAACGATCCTATACTCTCCCTGGAACTCACATGGAAGTGGAACGGCGGTCATCTTTCCTCTCGCCGTGTGGAACGTCCGACTTGTCGGAGCAGCCGGAGCGGCCGCTGCTTCGTTCGACAGACGCGAAGAAAACGAAACGATGGCCGCACGGTGGAGACACGTTTGGGCGGGACACGTTTGAAGGAAGGAGAGTTGGGAAGAGGTGAGAGAGTATCAAATCCCCAAAAGTGGTGAGTTGGGAAAGTTGGATTTTTTACATGAAATGGAGATCGAAACGGCAGACATGGAGAGCTGAAATGGTGACCTGTTGATCGTCGGGTGCGGGTACAAGGTGGTCTCTTTGTTAATAAGTACAAGGTGGGAACCCAGAACGATGGGTTTCCATCATTTCAGACAGACTCAGTCAGACTGGGGGGAAGTGCTGCTGCAGGGCGAGAAAACTGTTGTGCAAAGATGTGCAAAGCAGAATGAGTCAGAGGAGCTACACAGGAGCTACAGGAACCCACCAACACAAATCCCCCAAACATGGAGCATGCTCTTGGGACCACCGGCACCGTATACTTTGGCCACCGGGCGACCACCAAAATGCGGAACAACCACCTCCGGTCAGACCAGGGCTTCCTCGCTTTCGATCACCGGCGGAAACTGTCGGTGCCGGTGACGGCACGCGCCGTTCCCACCCTATCCCTGGCGTCCGGGGGGGGGGCCGTTCGCCATCCGCTAAGGATACCATCAAGGAGAAGATCGCCACGGCTCTCAAGGTTCGCCCATGACTTTTTCCTTCGAACACGCTTAATTATATAGTTGGGGTGTGATCAGGTTTGTACAAGTTTCCCTCTCAGCTCCTGGATGATGAGTGGTTTGCAATGATTTGTGTAAAGATATGTTGAAGAATGATCAATGGAGGAGGCCAGGCATTCCGTTTGAATTGGTAGGTGCTGAACTTGGAGGAAGTCGGGGTGCCCCTGTCACATCCACTCACTGGAATGGGACAACCACCGGCGACATGGCACTCCTTGGTCCATTTGGTCCATCGCCACAATCAAGGCGACTTCAGTCGCTCCATCTGTCTCGCCAGGAGAACCTCAAAATGGACGAGAGAGAGTTCACGAACCCTTGGAGTACTCAGGAGCACGGCCAACTGGGCCAATTCGGTTACACGGTGTGGTGAATGGTCACATCAGCGCAAGGAGGCGATCCAAAGTCCGGTAGTGACACGGCCCATCTATTATACGAACTGTCTATTACATGGTATTATGCAGCGCAGGGTGTATAAACAAAAAAAATCATTTGATTTGTCACATCGTCTCAGATGGTATCAAGTGGTATCACTGTTCCTCAGGCAAATTCAGCAGACAAGTTTCTGGCCGACGGGGTCTGCAAGGCTTCGAGCCTAGGCTCTCCTGGCTTCGCACGCAGCAGCTGCATTGCTTAGCACCTGTTTTTTGGGGGAAGATTGACATACATGGACGCCCGTTGTTCAATTGAAAAGCAGGACACACACGCAAGACTACAACCCCCTCCAATGGCTTTCTTTTAGATGGGGGTCCATATGAGGATTGGACCGTACGGTTTACCCCCTGGTTGGTTCAGAAATGGAAAGAGGTTTGCCCAGCATCCCCATCTTGCCAGAGATAGGACAGTCCATCACTCATATGAGCAACCTGATTTATTTACGGAAAGCTATTTAGTAAAGGACCCGACATTGGGATTGCAGAATTTGCATTTTACTTGGAAAACGATAATACACTCATCAAAAAACGATAACATTTTGATAGCATCATGTTTAATTATAGGAAAGCTTAGTTTGCATGGCTGCAGTACAGCTTTTTCACCATGAAGACCATCAGGGAACCTCGTTTCTGCTTAGTGTAGCCTTTCCCAAACTGTTTTTGACTTCGGACTTTGGCGACAGGTTTGTCCGAAATGTAGCTGTCTTAGCCCCTCAGTGGGCAACCTTTAACCTTTTTTTTTCACCCTGTGGGGGGGGGCAGGGCGCACCACAAAATCACGCGCATCAGAGTTCAGAAGACTTAGAAGGAGAACGAGGAGAAGGAACTCAAGACACACAGCCCGGAACATTGTTTGATTTTTCTTGTTTGACAGCGTCGGAGGTATAAGCATGTAACTTACGTCTTTAATTCAGTTTTATTTTGCGTACAATGTCTATTTTATTATTCGACGTTTGCTGATGCAAGTTGGTGTTTGTGTTTTGATTTCTTTGAATTTGTTGACGTCTTGTGCGTGTGTGTCCAGCGCAAAGTTTTGGCGAAGACTCGTTTATTTGGAAGGGAAAGCAAGCATGTTTGTTGGGCCTGCGGGCAAATTTTCCCAAAATCACGTTGCGAGTTCACAGTGGCGTTGCAGGGCTGCCGGCTGATCACACCGACTTGCCACCGCAAAGGGGGAAGCGGTTCAACGCCAACGGCCTGGGGCCACCACAGCAGAAACAAACAAAACGTAAATCGGGTGTCGAACGATCGAAAAGTAGAGCAGAACCAGCGAAGCGCAAAGACTGCGCAACCTTAGAAAACTGCAAGCTTCCCGACCAACCACGAGAGCAGGCAAAACTGACACGGCGCACAAGACACAGGGCCTCTGCTGCCAGTTCAGGCCCACACTCCTGTGAAACCATATCTCTGGCCACCGTCGCAAACAAACCAGCGGACAAGCGCCCAACCCGCGCTACTTTCAAATCTCGTAGCTTTCCTTCCCAGTAGCGCTGCTTGACTATTTGTGGGCTGCAGCGCAGTGATGCGAAGTGATTGTTGCAAGTCAGCACCCTTTCAACTGACAGTCGGTTCCCTGCCGGTTGAGAGCTGTGTTCAACGAGCGAGCGTCAGGTTAGTGACAGGTACTTGCCTGCTGTAGGCACAGTCTTGTGAGTCACACTGCGTACTCGGTAGACCGTAACATGTTGCTTTCATATAGCTCACGGAATCGGAGTTCCGACATTTTGGAGAAGGTGACAAGGAGCAGGACGAGAAGGAAAATGAGAACCAGGACATAATGAACACATTATATGAAAGCAGGGTGTTGAAACACATTGTTGATGTTTTTGTTTTTTTACACTTGTGTATAACCTTTATTTATTAACCTTTGATGCAAATTGGAGTTGCTGAATTTTTTTTTATCTGTTTGCATTTCTTTGATGTTACGTGACGTCACGTCCGTCCCACCTGCGTTACGCCTGGAAAACCCCGTGGTTCACGTTTTGGGAAATGTGCGGCTGTGTGTGCGCGCGCCCCACCCTGATAGTGAGATTGGCCTGTGGTACACTGAGTCCAGGGATTGCAGACTTGCACGTTTTGCTTGTTTGTGTTGCGGCGCGCCCGTTCGTTGAACCTTTTCCCCCTTTGCGTTGGTCAGTGTAATGAGCCGACAGCCCTGCATGCAACCTGCGCCGTGTTTGTTACAAGCACCACTGCGTCATTTTTCCCGCCAAGACCGCCGCTACGAGACACTGTCGCCAACGTGCTACGCCGTCGTTCTCGCGAACCACGCAAACCCGAAGGCGGGGAGGGCGCACATACACACTTCGACATTGGTTTTCAGTTAGCTCAATTGCCACGATGGGAAGGAAGGTGATGGAACAGCAAGGCGAATGAGTCAGGTCACTTGAAGTGTTGAACAAAAGTTTCACTCGCACGGCTGACTGTAACTCTCAGGCGGCTGAAAAGTGCGGTGGGAACCTGTTTTTTGGGGAAAGTAGCATGAAGGACAATGATTCAAAGCGTGGAAAGTGGTTTCACAGCTTGAAAACAGTTCTCATCGCAGGTACAGGAATGTGCGTCCACATTCCCTTCCGGCTGAATCCCATAGCTTCGTTGGCATGGCTAGGGAAACAGCCGCCATGCCCCCTGCATGCAGAAACCCTTCGAAACAGGGCTTGACGCACACAAGCTGCCGCTTGGCGGCGCTCGTGTGAGAAACCTGAATAGATACCTAAAAAGCCTTAGAAACGAAAGAAAGAAAGACAGAAAGAGCAGCGCTAAGAGGGCAAAAGAGAAAGATAGGTGTAGAAAAATGGAAAGGTGAATACTTAGCCCTTGACTGGGGTAGGGAAACGAACCTCAAGAACCACCTAAAAAGCCTGAAAGAAAGCCCAACAAACGACGAAAAACGCAAGAAGGAAAGCGGGGGGCAGGGAGGGGGTGTATGTCCATGTGTGTGTACGTGTGTGTGTTTGAATACCTAGCACTCTAGAATTACTGAATACTTAGACGAAGTGAATTAGGTGCACTAGTTAGGGAGCGGGACTTTAGTCTTAAACCGCCGGGGTAGAGTAGACTAGAAAAAGGACAACAGAGGGAAAGGCACCGACACACAAGTGTGTCGAGCACCATTTCCCTATGTTACCCTAATTAGGTAGGGAGTAGAACACGGTGGGGGGGGGTAGGGAGACCTGCCTGAAGTGGGGTGAATTCCGTTTTTAAGCCCGGCGGCTAGCAAATTCGTTTTAGAGCCCGACGGCTGTATGAGCAGTAAATTCAGGGTAGAGAAAGATCGATGAGGGAGTCAATGAAAACCGAAAATTCAGTAACTCAAATTCCAGCATGAAAACAGCGCCTCCTTGCGGAGGATCACACCCAGCACCCAAGTGGGACGGCTGAGCGGCTCACACTTCGACATTGGTTTTCAGTTAGCTCAATTGCCACGATGGGAAGGAAGGTGATGGAACAGCAAGGCGAATGAGTCAGGTCATTTGAAGTGTTGAACAAAAGTTTCACTCGCACGGCTGACTGTAACTCTCAGGCGGCTGAAAAGTGCGGTGGGAACTTGTTTCTTGGGGAAAGTAGCATGAAGGACAATGAACCAAAGCGTGGAAAGTGGTTTCACAGCTTGATCACAGTTCTCATCGCAGGTACAGGAATGTGCGTCCACATTCCCTTCCGGCTGAATCCCATAGCTTCGTTGGCATGGCTAGGGAAACAGCCGCCATGCCCCCTGCATGCAGAAACCCTTCGAAACAGGGCTTGACACACACACACACTGCCACAAGGACCCTGCCCCCGTTCACATCCTTTCACAGTGGTGCCGTGACGAAATACGACTGACTCCTTCCATGTGAGTCTTTTGACCTGGAAGTTGTTGCGAGCAAGACTTTCTTCCCACCTGGCGGCTGATGCAAGCGGAAACACGCAAACGACGACGCAACGTGACCTTCACAAAAAATACGCCAGGCCCCCCTCTTACAAACACTCGCCCATGCGACACACCGCCGCCGTCCTGCCGCCGCCCAGCGCCGCCGTTCTACGCCGCCGTTCTCCCACCCAACGCGCGGAACACGCAAACCCGAAACAGATGGCGCACAAGCAGCCTGGCACTGATGCCAACGCGAAAGCTCATGCATGCGAGCAGCCGTCACAATAAGTGTGGGTTTGCGATTTTCCAGGTGGCCAGCTGCAGCTGTGCTGTTGGCACAGCCTGCGTGGAACGCAGTGCTGTTGCAGGTGGCCACCTGCAGTTGTGTTGCCCGTTGAACGCAGTGCTGTTGCAGGTGGCCACCTGCAGTTGTGTTGCTTGTGGTGGCGTGTGCGTTGAACGCAGTGCTGTTGCAGGTGGCCACCTGCAGTTGTGTTGCTTGTGGTGGCCTGCGCGTTGAACGCAGTGCTGTTGCAGGCGGCCAGCTGCAGTTGTGTTCCTTGCAGTGGCCTGCGTGTTGAACGCAGTGCTGTTGCTGGTGGCCAGCTGCAGCTTTGCTGTTTGCAATGGCTTCCTGCCGTACACAGGTTTTGTGCCAACGGTAACTACGCGCCGCTTCCGGTGATGGTTCGTGCATGGATCATAAAACATGAAACATGATTCATCGGGTATGAAGTCATGGCTCATAAAACATGAAACATGATTCATCAGGTATCAAGTATCCACCTCCATCTCGAAGTGTTATCGCAAGATGTTCTCAAAACTCAATGAAAATGGGGTTCCACGAGACTTCCTGGGGGCTATTTTTTAAAACCGCTAACCAGACTATTGAAAGTAGCGTAACCTGGTCCTTGGAAACCCTCAGCTCAAAACCAACCAACCCCAACACATGCCAAAGTCTCCGCCAGAAGGTTGCAGCCACACCGGATCCCAGGTCCAGTGGCAGCAACTGCAGGCCCCACAACTGCCAAGAGGCTCCACTTAGTAACCATGGTGAGTATGTGTTGCCGGTGGTCCTATTTTCGGTCTGGTGGCGGCAAACCGTTGTCATGACATGTGTCAACGCCGGTGTTAGGCAGATAACGAATGTTGGTGGCACACCCCTGGTATGATGGTCAATACTGTTGCTGCTGCTCCTGGTATGCGGCGACCCTGTTGGTGCGGTAATTCCGCTGGTATGATGGTGTCATACGGTTGGTAAGACGGTATCGTACCGGTATGATGGTATCATACCGGTCATACCGGTGACCTGATGGTATCATACCGGTGGCATGAGGACCTCATACCATTGGTATGATGTTGTCATACCGGTGGTATGATAGCATACCGCTTGTATGATGGTATCATACCCCCACCCGGCCCAGGCGTGTTTGGTGACCGCACAGCAGCCTGTGTTCGTGAAAAAACACAGCATGTGTTGTGATGTACACAACATGTGTTGCGCTGTACACAACATGTGTTGTGCTGTACACAACATGTGTTGCGTTGTACACAACATGTGTTGTGGCATACAAGACAGAAGCACGTGGCGCTCACATTGTTTGTCTACAGCACAGCCACGCATGAAACACATGATGACCCTGGAGGCTTGACGAGCAGAGCCGGCCCTGGGAAACTCACACCCGCAACTGCCTGTACGCAACCGACACTCCGCGGTCTACAAAACGCAGGCAGAAACCAGCCAGCAACCATGACATGTCGGACATGTGCTTCCACCGCCCCGTCACGTAATTAATAGTAAGGTCGGGAAGGTCTTTAGGCATGCTGAAACACGGTGTCCCACTGCGCCGAGATGTTAGTTTGGTCACTTGCGGTCACTTGCGTGCGAAATGAACGTTTGACACGCCAAACCTTGGCAGCGGCTCACAAGCATTCAAGCCTCTGACGCCCGCCTCCTCTTGTAGTTGTAGACGCTATGGCTGCCGACCTTCGTCTGACTACTCCTGCCTACCAAGTTGTCCACCTGGTGTGCACCCTCATGCTGCGCCGGGCTGCTGTGGAGAAATGCCTTCGGAAGCGGTGTGGCACTTTGCCAGACTGCTTCCGCGCCTTGCTGATGCGGCCCTTCGAGTTGAACTTCACCGGAGGGCAGCAGAAGCGGGCGTGGACAATTCAGGGGCTTCTTGAGAAGATGAAAATATGTTTCTGGCCCATTGGCTGCACAATGAAATTTTTATCCCTTGTTCACCCCAGAGTGAAAAGTATTGAAAAGTTAGAGGTTGAAGCGGCGCCGAAACTTTCATCCCATGTGAGGCCCACAGACCGGACGACAAAGGGACGACAAAGGCCCAGGCCAAAGTCCTTGAGGAGTGGCCAGGGAACGTGTTTACGAACTGTTGCCCGGAAGAGACTTCAGTGTTAGTTTCAGTGTTTTTGCCCGAAGATTACATTTTTTGCCCGTGGCTACCCCCAGGTTACCTGATGACGGTCCTGGCCACCGAAAAGTTTGCGCCAGAAACTTGGCATAACTTGGCAACTGAAATCCCTCTTCCCTCTTCCCCCTTGTTTTCGTTAATGTGTTTGTAGTAGGGCGCCCCGCCGTCTCCTTAGGACGCCTGGCGCTGGAGAGGCGTCTGCGATCAAGAAGAAGCTCCTCGCTGTCTTCAAGAACAAGAACCCGGCTCTGTTCTTCACCTCGTTGTTCAACCCTGGCCGGCGTTCACGCTTTACAGTCCGTAAAGCGAAGCGGGACGGGGTGAAGACTGCGCTGGGGATAGTTCAACTTAAGGTGGCCCGTCCATGCCTTAAGTCGACGAGAACCATCTGGCGCCCCAAACGCGAGATCATCTTTGAGACTTTCTCAGAATTTGTCATTCACAAAGGTAAGGTAGACGCAACCTGTTCACAATGTAGCAGAAAGTGTCATGGTTGAACCTGCACGATTCGATAACTGTCAATGATTTGCAAAAGCTCTACGGGCTTGGGCCGTTTCAGTGCACCAACTTTTGGCGCCTGCTTCGGTCCGCCCGCTCCTACCCGAAGCACTTGGATCTCGCGTGGTCCTCCTGCAGGCCGGGAAGCCGCAGGGGCATCAATTTGCTGAAGAACTTCCTGAAGGACCCCCTGTAAAACGTTTTCAAAAATTTTCAATGCAAAACCCTGAGCCCCTGTAGCTGCCTGAGCGTTGGCTGCAGGACTTTTGCGTGACAGCGTCGGACGCCAGTTCCCAGGACTTCTTCTCAGAGCGGCTGCAAGACATCCAGGAACTTTTCCAGCGGTGCGCGGCTTTGCAGCCAGACCCATTGGACCACAAGTTGCTGGCCGAAACCAAAGACGGGTGATTATCGTTTTGAAGCAGCCTTCAAACATGCTCGCACGGAACCGGAGGAGGAAGTCCAGACTTTGTGCTCCACTTTGGAGGGCGTGGCGTTCATTTTGTGTGAACTTTCCAAGATCGTCAACTACGTCGTGAAGGAACACCCCATGTATGAACGGGGGTTCCAATGTCAACGAACCAAGTATCAAACGATAACCTAAACGATAACCAAACGATAACGTAAATGTAGACGAACCTGTCCTACGAAACCAGTGCCCCACTTGTATCATATCTTCCAAACAAGCTCAAGACATGGGCTGGTCTACTGGTCTACTGGTCTACTACTACTACTACTACTACTACTACTACTACTATTCCTACTGCTACTACTACTACCACTACCACCACCACAACCACAACCACCACGACGACGACTACTACTGCTAGTACTGCTCCTCCTCGTCCTGCTCCTACTGCCCCCACTGCGACTGCCATTGCCACTGCTACTGCTCCTACTGTCACTACCACTACTACTGCTACTACTAGTACTACTAGTACCAGTACTAGTACCACTACTATTGCTACTACGACTACTACCACTACTACTGCTACTACCACTACCACTACGACTACTACTACTACTACGACTACTACTACGACTACTGCTACTACTACTACTACTACTACTACTACTACTACTACTACTACCAACTACCAACAACTACTACTACTACTACGACTACTACTACTACTACTACTACCACTACGACTACTACTACTACTCCTGCTGCTACCACTACTCCTGCTCCTACTGCTACTGCTACTGCTACTGCGACTACTGCCCCCACCAAACGGCGACAAGTAAAAAAATGCTGGCGCTGTGTGCTGTGTGTAGCGATGCCACCATTGAAGGCGATAGCCACGACCTTGCTTACCACACAGAAGGAGTTTTGACCGTCGCACGTCTGCTTCCATGTCCAAAAAGTCTGCCGCATTGTGAAAACAACCTTTAACATAAGTAAGGTTCAAAACGTGGAAAACGATAATACACTCACCAAATTGAAATGTGCAAGGCCCACATAACAAATAAACCGCGTCGCTCATATGCCCTAGGGCTCCTGGCCCATATCCTCAGGTTCGGTGGTTAGGCCCCCCTGGCACCCACGAAGCATCTTCTCAGGAGGTGGGCCAGCAGCCCTAGAGATAAGACTTGATATAACCCGTGAAACCTTGGGGATTGGTGTCGTCTACTCTAAAACTCCATGTGCCGATCAGGCCAGAGGTGGTTGATTGAAAAGGGATCGTGTTGAGCAATGGCTTGGCATCTATTCCAGTCCCACCAGTGTTCCAGTACTCTGAAACTCCGTCTACGGCATACTACGGCTACTGTACTTCCAGGGCCGCCGGGCCAGGGGATGCCAGGGGTGTCTAATCATATAGCTCCTTAGAGGTTAAGGGGTATCCATTCTCCACCCCAAACCGGGGGCCCTGGTTGATGGCTATTTAGGCGGAATAGAACCACAGGACCGACTCCATCACCAGTCACCCAGCACTCCATAACCAGTCACCCCGCCGAGAACGAGACGCGACCAGTGCGGCGCAGGACAAAGCCTCGGTGCTGCAAGAGTCTCGGTGCTTCAGCGACGCGCCCATCGACGCGCCCAAGCGACCCGGCGGCAGTCGTCTTAGTCGTTTATTTTGTGTGTGTTCTTTTTTCCAGTCCCTACAGGCTTCCAGTCGACCACCTTTAAACATATGGTTGACCTTGTTTTTGTGGAACAATCCCTTAGTAAATCTAATGGTTCTTTGGGTGGGCGACCATCGCTGCTCGGTATCGACCGAGCAGTGGGTGTTCGGCGAGCCTCGGTGGCGGAAGGCTGTTCGAGGAATCAAAGCCGAACAGAGGGATCAGAGCCGAATCCCTGCCAGAGCTGAACAAAGATTGGAGAACAGAACAGAATCCAATCCTTAAGGCAGGTCAGTTGAGCCAAGCAAAGCTGAGGTTGCTAGCATCAGAAGTGTAGGTAAGGATCTCTGCATCACTTCCCCAACCAACTTCATACTATTATTTGGGGGGGGCCCTGGGACAGTAGGGTCACGCCTCTTCAATTCTGCTCAGCTGCCATCTCTGCCTTTCCTCGTTTCAGGTGCTTAAACCTGCTGACGCGGATCATCTATCTCATCCAGCACCTCAGTCTGCACATGTCCGGCGCGAGAAGAACCCCCGTGTTGTTCTTTGTTTTTTTAGACGACACTCTATGGTCTTTGAGGGCAAGGAACTCAGAGCTCTTTGATTGAATATGCTGCTGTTTTTTGCCGTTTGGTGCGTTGGAGATATTCTTGAGGGCCTATGACCATGGGACCTCAGTGACTCCAACGCGGTGATGGAACCAAAGAATATGTTCTCCTCCCCCCTCCCCCACTGAACGGACTCTTTTTGAGGGGGCAAGCCCCCCAAGTGGGCCCTGATCCGCCACACATCAATTCATCAATCATCATCAATCATCTACGGGATGATTGGAGGTCAGGTGGCCACCTTGAAAATCATTCAGTTCTGAGAATCGGCGGGTGGCAGTTTGGTAGTTTGGCGCTATAATTCCAGCCTTATTTCTCATTCCAGACTTCTCCCATATTTTTGTTTGGGTGATTTTGGACGAGAGAATTGGGTGGATGAATTGTGAACAGAACCGTCCTTTGAGGGAAGCTCTTTTTTTAAAAACAATATTTCGGCTTATAAACGCATGATTTGATGTCCCACACCTGAGTTGACACAGATGCTTTGCCAATCCAATACCTCAGAGAGAGCTTCACTTCCACAGATCTTTGGCCATGACTTCAATTGGAAGGCTGACCTGGAAGCTCCAAAGGCCCTTGGAACGCCAAATGGCAAATTCGCTCTGATGACCCCCACCACACAAAAAACAGGATACTGGTTGGCCAGTCACTGTTGATATTTTGATCCTTGCTCCTCGTGCGGCACTCCACCAGCAACAGGACCTGCATCCCACGGTCTCATGCTCCGCACCCAATTGGTACAAAGACCTGCCAGAAGCGGCCTAGGCAAGGAGAGAAGTTCACCGCACAGGCGAGTTCGGTGAGTTTGCCGGTGGGTTTGGGCCCGCAGAACGTGTTTTTGCCCGGAAAAATGGAGAGTGGATTGAGCCTACATGAAGATCATGAAGAGAACCGTGCACAGTCAAGAAAAAACACGGTGGGTGCAGATCTGACTTAATTTATAGAATTATACCATCACGGAATTTCCAGTTACTGGTGAAACGGGAGTCACAATCCACCACAAAACAGAAACAGGGTAAGATGAGTCATTTGGACCTGCAGGGTGTTGGATTCAGCCAAAAGGTGACTCCAGAACCTGAACTGCTGATTTTTGCGAGATGTGTTTTTAATGGCCAGCATGTAGCTACAGGGATTGGAGGGGAGGGGAGACCAGCAACTTGAACTGTTGGTTTTGCTTCCTTTGAGCAGCGCGTTGTCCAACCTCTGAGTCGTGCGAAGAGTTGCGGAGGTTCATAGCCTAGATCTTGAGACTGTGAGACATTTGCTTCAACTGACAGATTGGTGAAACTACTGGGTATAGCCTTTATGTAGGTGAAATCACTGTCAGATCCATTTGCCGATTTCGCCAACCATTTTCAGACAGGTAGGAGTCGGAGAGTGACCCTTTCTCAACGTGTCTCCCTTTTTGGATTCTTGGTTCCGACGGTCATGGGAAGAGCATGCTGCGAACCATCTCTCCGAGACCACTTCTGCGCACGGAGTCGGCAGTCGTCTGCTCCACCAGGGGGGGGCTGTCCCAGGGCGGACCTCCCGACCGGTCGCGGAGCTCTTGGTCGAAAGGGTGATCGATAGGGACGGATGAGCACGGGGAGACCACTCCGCCGCGCGGGGAGCCTGGGCGCCGACTCGTCTCACGCGAGGAACTCACGAACCTCTTCTTTGGAGTCACCAAGCTTTTTCAGGCATCGATTTTGGGGGACTGGACATGGGGAGAGGGGGCGAGTGGGAGGCACTGGCGAGGGTTCCTCGCCTGCGGAGCGCTTAAGGAGCGCTTGGCCAAGTCCTCTTGTAAACGGAGGGAGCAGTTGGCAGCAGTTGGGAGATATCAGTGGAGATATCCAGGAGTTCGAAAGGGGTGTTTTTTTGTCCCATCCAGTGAGTGGATGTACTGGGCCAAGTTCGGTAGTTCGACATGGAACTGCTTGCAATATATTATGGATTCATGATGATACATGTCTCTGGAACTCCGAGCAGGATGTACCATCATCATGTCACACGTGTGTACCATCATGTCATACGGTGTCGGAGGACCAGCTTTCTGGATGCAGCTTTCCGGACCGAGGAGGTGTTTTCGGACCGAAGCCCAAATGAATTGCAAGACTGGGAAGCACCTCACGGCATCAGCAGGTCCTTCTTTTCCTCCACCGCCCCGAGTCCGAAGCGCTCGCCGGACAGCTGTCAGCATCTCGGACAGCCGCAGCCTCTCTGACCTGTCTGGCCAGGCTCAGTGTACGAGGCTCAGACGGATGGTCTACTTGGTCATCAAGGAGTTAGAGCCTTCTGATCAGGAGGCCGGGGTGCGAGGCTGGGAACTGTGGGGTGGAGCTGAAGTGAGATTTCACCATGTTGTTGCTCTATGTTGCTCTATTCTAGGACAATCGATGCCCTTTGACTCTTTGACAGACCCTTTTTCTGGGATTCGGTGGGACGTTTGGCAGAACCAAGGAACCGATTGAACGCTGTAACACCACGACATGCGCCGATTCTGCTTTCGGAGTCTCTAAGTTGCCGAGACTGGAAGAGGAGACCAGGATCACCGGAAGAATCACTTCAGAGAACCACCTCGGAGAGGAAGTCACTTCCTTGATCACCTCAATGAAGTCACTGGAATATCACCTCAATGAAGTCACTGGAATCTCAGGTCTCTTCACCTCTTCGTTTCAACGAACCACTTCAGAGATCTTCAGAGATGCGTTCCGACATGTGCGAATCTCCAGGCACTCCAATCCGAATCTCGGGTAACAAGGTGACAACCCGTCGTTTCTTCGGTCCCAGGTCTTCATTTGCATGTCTTGCCTCATCAAAGACATGAATAGCCTCTTGGATCGGGATTAAGTCCTGGGTCCTGTCGGTTGACCTGTCGGTTGACCTGTCGGTTGACCTGTCGGTTGACC